ATAGAAACATCAGTGATGAAAGAGAGATCCCCATTGGGGATCAAGCCCACAACCCAGGCATGTGCCCTTGACCAGAATCGAACCTGGGACCCTTCAGTCCACAGGCTGACACTCTATCCACTGAGCCAAACCAGCTAGGGCAGGGGTTGTTTTTTTATTTTTAAAATGTTTTTATTGATTTTAGAGGGAGGAAAGGAGATGGAGAGAAACATTGATGGCTGCCTTCTGCACACACCCCCACGGGGGATCGAGTCCACAACATGGGCAAGTGCCCTGACAGGGAATCAAACCCAAGACCTCTTGGTGTTCAGGAAGACTCAACCAACTGAGCCACACTGGCCAGGGCTAGGATATTTTTCATAGGTAAAAACTAGAAATAACACAAAGTCCAACAAGAGATTGATTTAACAAATTATAGCACATCCATACAACTGAACACTATACTAAATTGTAAAGGTAAGTAAATAGATCTATCTTACTAATGTGGGGAAATGGCTACAATTTACAAAGTGAAAAAAGGAAGTCCAAAAACAGTATATAAAATGCATATGATTCCACATTTATAAAAAATTAAATTAATCTGAGAAAGTGAAAATTTTAAATCTTTCCTATCTATATTCATTATGGTAATTCCAGAAGCTGGCATGTAGCCAGGAACCAGTAAATGTTCCTTCGATGACTATGGTAACACCGAGGACTTGAAGTCGTATTTGAAATACTCACAATAGAGTGTGAATTCTGACCTTATTCTGTTACTCCAGGAAAAGCAGGATTTTTCTATTGTTGGGCAGGAGGGAGGGGAGAGAGGCTTCATAATTAGCCGAAGTTAGGAGAGTGTTAGATTGAAGGTCATTGGTTCAATCCCAGATTTGGGTGATACTGTCTTTTTGGCTTACTTTACCTATTTATCTATCTGCCTATGCATTAATAATTTCTCTTCACTTAATAAAAAAATTTAAACCTAGAGAAAGGTTACAAGACAAAGAAAAACATCTATATTCACTGTTAACTTTTCCCACATTTGCTTTATCTCCCCTCTCTATGTGTGTACACTGTTTTTGCCAAAACATCTGAGAGTTATATAAATCATGATATTGCAACTCAAAATACTTCAGCATGTATCTCCAAAGAACATTTGACTATTTCTATACAGATATAAAAATTGTATAAACACATATATTTTTTCAAAGAATTATTTCTTACTTTGAAATAGTTTAAGACTCACAATAAGTTGCAAAAATAGTACAGAAAGTTCTCAGATACCATTCACCCAGCTTGCTCTCCATGATAACATCTTACATAACCATAATACATTATCAAAATGACACTGATACAACAAATGAATTCAACTACAGACCCTATTTGAATTTAGATTGCACTAGGTTTCTCAGTTTATCTTGCTCTCATTCTTTCTCGTTCCATGAATTTTTATCACAGGTATAGATTTGAGTAACAGAACTGTTCATCACCACAAAAAGAAAACCTTTTTATTACTCCTTTATAGTCATATCCTCTCCACAACCTAACCCATTAACCACTGATATGTCCTCTATCACTATAATTTTGTCATTTCTAAAATGTTACACATAATACATAAAATTTTAGGTTATTATTTTTTTAATATATTTTATTGATTTTTTACAGAGAGAAAGGGAGAGGGACAGAGAGCCAGAAACATCGGATGAGAGAGAAACATCGATCAGCTGCCTCCTGCACACTCCCCACTGGGGATGTGCCCGCAACCAAGGTACATGCCCTTGACTGGAATCGAACCTGGGACCCCTCAGTCCGTAGGCCGACGCTCTATCCACTGAGCCAAACCAGCCAGGGCGAGGTTATTTTTTTTAATCCTCACCCAAGGATATGTTTCTATTGACGAGAGAGAGAGAGAGAGAGAGAGAGAGAGAGAGAGAGAGAGAGAGAAAAGCAGACGGCTGAAAATGGAACCCTTGAAACAAAGGAGAGTGGTGAGCACTGCAAAATGCCACAGAGAGGCCACCGAGGATGTGGTCTGAGGGAGAACCTGGGGATGGCACACCAAGGTGTCTGCAGTGTCCAAGTCTGACATCAGAGGAAGATGAAGACAGGGCAATCCCTCAGGAAACCTGGCCAGCTGGAAGACTTGTGGTCTGAGGCTCCGCCAAGATCACTCCTCTGTCGTACAGCTTTTATTAAAGCCACATCTTGGCCCGTGAGGTGGGTTGCCAAGAAAGGGGAGGTATAAGTCCCCTGGGGGAATCTCAGTTGGGAATATCAGAAAACTGTTCAGTAAATACAAACTGCAGCCCACTCTAGATTGTCCAGTCCACTACCTCTTTGTTGGATCATTTGGGTCTTTTCTATACTTTCTTCTGTTCTATGTGTGTTTTGCCTTTGGAGTACTGCTTCTATTGGTGGATGGAAGAAGAAAAGTGAAACTCCGGCCATGGCATTTTGCTGATTCTTAGTAGTCCTGAATAACATGGTTGAAATGAGATTGAAATATAGCCCAGAAGTAAGATCTCCTAATTACCTGTGGTTGTTTCCACATTGCAGTGGGACAACTGTGAGCCACACTCACACTGATCCCTAGAACCACAATCAATCAAGGTTGGTTGTATTCTCTCTCCCAAGGGGCAGTCTGTACAAGGATGTGGTGTATAATTTTCTGTAATTTCACCACTAAACCCAACTCATAGCCTGTTGATGGTATATGTGAAGCAGTGCCCCTTTATTTGAAAGAAGACAATGATGGCAGTAGCTCCTTATACTTTACAGCTTACAACGCACCTTTACATGCATCAACTAAATCTTCCATAACCTTGAGGAGGTAGGTGCTATTATCTCCACATGCTTAGTAAAGGCAGAAGCCACAATTTAAGCCCATCACCTCTGACCCTATATCCAATGTTCTTTCAATAACAAACCAGTCTGCTATGTTGTTGTTGGCCAAAACTCTTCTGAAACCCACTTAGCCTTATTCTGGCTACTTGGAAATTAATGAGACTTCAAGAATTTCCTTACTCTAAGAAGTAGAATTATGTGGTGAGGAAAGAATGTATGTTTGATACTAGTGAATTTATGCAGAATGCTGCAACTGAGTCTCGGTTTCTTATCTGTAAGAAAGAGGTAAGGGCCACCTTGAAGAATGGTCGGAAGGAGATAAACCTATGCAAAAGTCTTGGCACCATGGCTAGCCAGGAATATTATTCAGTGGTGTGAGCACTCTTCTATTCTTCACCTCATGAGGTCTTTCTGAGCCCAAAGCACTGAGAATTGAGTCCCTTGATCTGTGATAAGGAACCAGGTGGCAGGATGTGAAAAGGCTAAAAGACCTGACCATCCATGACCAAGCACAAAGCCAGGAAATATGTTCCAAAGTCTCAAAGAACTCCCTTTCCCCTTTCTCTGGTGGTCTGTCTCAGGTAATACCTTCCACCCACCCCCATGAAGCTAAAATTTACCCTAGAGCTACTTCCTTGATATCCCAAGATCAATAAATGTCTTCAGTCTGAAATTCTGGAACCTACTAAACAGTTCTTCCTACTCTCTCTCCAAAGTCATAGCCACATCCTGAGAAAGATTATAAGCATTACTAGAGGCCAGTGCATGTGCACTGGTGGTGGGGGGGGTGGTCCCTCAGCTCGGCCTGCGCCCTCTCAAAGTCTGGGAGCCCTCAGGGGATGTCCAACTGCCAGCTTAGGCCCATCGGACATCCTTAGCACTGCGGAATCGGGAGAGGCTCCTGCCACCGCTGCTGCACTTGCCAGCCATGAGCCTGGCTTCTGGCTGAGCAGTGCTCCCCCTGTGGGAGTGCACTGACCACCAGGGGGAAGCTCCTGCGTTGAGCGTGTGCCCCCTGGTGGTCAATGTGCATCATAGCAACCAGTGTTCAGCCTACTGGTCAATTTGCATATTAGTCTTTTATTATATAGGATCACATAATGCAGACCCCACACCGACTCCTCCCAGCCTCATCTTTCCAGATCCTTCTGAGTCCCCCAATGCATAGTAAAGGAGGCCAGTTCAGTTACCATCACTCTTCCCCACTCCTAGGGGTCTGTTTGCAGGGATCTCTTTTGTCCAAAGAGAGATCTCCACAGGAAGAGGTTCTCACAAACCACATGACGATTTACACAGACTGAAATCTCAAATGCATACCGGGCCAGACGCGTCAAGTAAAAGGAAAATAAGAGGGTGGTCGTAATTAACGGAGAGTGATGAGGACTGTGGTGAACGCCAGAGCGCACATACACAAATGGCAGGGGCGCCTCAGCTGTGCCCATTTTGGCCATCCTAGCTCTCTCTCAGGCCCCTGCGCACTTTACCTACCTCGCTTCTCCCCCGCCTCAACCCCCCCTTTGCCCCCCCTCCCCCGCCCCGGGCGTCGCAGGCTTCCCGCAGCCTCCCGGCCCCTGCGGTCCCGGGAGCTGCAGAGGAACCGCTGATGAGATGTTCTCTGACGCAGACCCACTTTTCCCTCGGGAACCCCGAACGAGCTGAGGGAGGGAACAAAGCCTCGCCCCGTGAGTCCCACTCTAACTAGAAAAAGAAGGCCTTACCCTCGGAGCTCCTGGGTGGAGAACAGGCCTACGGGACACCTCCCAGAAAACCCTAGGACAGGGTCAAGGGAGGCGACAGAGCCGTGTGGTGTCCGGATGACAAATCCCAGTCGTTCATTGGTAGGCACCCCGGCGCTCAAGTCATTTCCAAACCAGACTTTCAGCGGGGAGGGACCCTCAGACTAGGGGGCGGCTCCTACGCAAATGCCTGTCCCGGCGCCCTAGGTCTGCGGCGCGCGCGCAGCTGCGGCCATCGCGGAGCTCCCCCCGCCCCCATCCTGCTGCCCCTCTTCACCCTGCCCGTCAGGCCCGGAGCAGAGCTCCGCCCCCAACGCGCCGCCCCAACCCCCCGCGCCTTAAAACCGGTGCACACCGCCCCCGCGGCGCCCCGGCTGACGCACCTCTCCTCTCCTTTGTATCTGCGGCCGCAGTCGCTCTCGGGGCGCCTGTCCTGGCACCATGAGTTTCAGCTCGGAGCACTACCTGTGTGGCCCCTCTTCCCTACCGCAAGGTGTTCGGCGACAGCTCCGCGCCTGTTCCTCGCGCCCTCTCGGGGGCTGGCGGCGCGGGCAGTTAACCGCTCGGAGTCGCTGACCCGCTGCACGGTGGCCTCCTCCGCCGCCTGCTCCTCGGCCTCGTCTCTCGGTCTGGGCCTGGCCTACGCCGGCCTCCCGCGTCCGATGGGCTGGACCTGAGCCAGGCGGCCGCGCGCACCAACGAGTACAAGATCATCCGCACCAACGAGAAGGAGCAGCTGCAGGGCCTCAACGACCGCTTCGCCGTGTTCATCGAAAAGGTGCACCAGCTGGAGACGCAGAACCGCTCTCTGGAGACCGAGCTGGCGGCGCTGCGGCAGCGCCACGCCGAGCCGTCGCGCGTGGGCGAGCTCTTCCAGCGGGAGCTGCGCGACCTGCGCGCGCAGCTGGAGGAGGCGAGCTCGGCCCGCGCTCAGGCCCTGCTGGAGCGCGACGGGCTGGCGGAAGAGGTGCAGCGGCTGCGGGCGCGCTGCGAGGAGGAGAGCCGCGGGCGCGAAGGCGCCGAGCGCGCCCTGAAGGCGCAGCAGCGCGACGTGGACGGCGCCACGTTGGCCCGCCTGGACCTGGAGAAGAAGGTGGAGTCGCTCCTGGATGAGCTGGCCTTCGTGCGCCAGGTGCACGACGAGGAGGTGGCCGAGCTGCTGGCCACGCTGCAGGCGTCGTCGCAGGCTGCGGCCGAGGTGGATGTGGCCGTGGCTAAACCAGACCTGAGTTCGGCGCTGAGGGAGATCCGCGCCCAGTATGAGTCCCTGGCTGCCAAAAACCTGCAGTCCGCCGAGGAGTGGTACAAGTCCAAGTTCGCCAACCTGAACGAGCAGGCGGCGCGCAGCACCGAGGCCATCCGGGCCAGCCGCGAGGAGATCCACGAGTACCGGCGCCAGCTGCAGGCGCGCACCATTGAGATCGAGGGCCTTCGCGGAGCCAATGAGTCCCTGGAGAGGCAGATCCTGGAGCTGGAGGAGAGACACAGTGCCGAAGTGGCCAGCTACCAGGTAAGGGCTTGAGCGCTGGAGAGGGCGGGGCGCCCTGTCCCCTCCTGCGCATCCCTGCGATTTCCCCGCACAATGGTGGCCCAAGGAACCGAGAGGAGGGGGAGGGAGGAAAGAGCCTGGACTAGAGGCCTTGGCAAACAAAAAGCTCTGGGCTCTCCACTGATCATTGTAGGGGCCTGGACGCCCTCTTCTCCTGCCCCTCACATACCTTCTCGGGCCCTTCTCACAAAGAAGCCCTTAGCTTCTCTTCTTCAGATTTCGAAAATCTAACTTATGCCTCCCAGTCAGCAAGTGGGAATAAACACACGTAAGACTTGAAGAACAGTTCCCCACCCAAACGGAGGTGGGTTACACCTGCTCCGTGGTTGACGGTGCTGTCTTGGCTCTTTGCCTTCTTTTGTTGACTTTGAAAGGTTTTCTGTGCGCCCTGGAATAGATATTTATAGAGTATGGTCTGCCCTAGGGTTGGGGGAAGAATGCTGGACTGAACTGGAAAGGGTTCTACTCCATTTTCTTGACTTTTATCCTCAAAGGAGTAGAGATTGGGAACCAACGAGATGGGTGGTCAGGCTAGTGTAACCGCCCTGTTCTTGCTCTACCCTTCCCCCAACACACATATACACAAAACACACCACACACACACACACACACACACACACACACACACACACACACACACACGGTTCCCTTGTCTACCGATTGATATTTCTTCTTAAAGAAAGCTTTACACCAGTTAGCCAATGCAAATGGTTGGGGCGCTGTCCTCGGTGCTGATCTCGAATTCTTCCCATCTCAGAAATGTCTCCCCCGTCGCATGTCCCAGTTATGACTCTCTAGGCAATTAACTGCTTAGATTTTCTTTTTCTTTTGCAACACCAACACATCAGTCTTGGCTACCTGCAATCAAAGGTCACCCCGTGAACAGCATCAATAGTCACTTTCATGGATGGCTTAGCACTTAATAAAAACCACTTAATCTGCTCAGGAACAGTGAGGTCCCACTTGAAAATGCCCTTTTTCTTAACAGTTTCCCAATCTAAGTGAATGTGATAAATCAAAGAGATTAGTTTTATCTTTGTTATAGGCCACTTATTTTTCATCTTTGCCTGTCTTCTAAGCTCCTATGATTGGCTCTTTTCTCACTTTTTCCTCCAAACAAAGACCACTGCATCTTCAGTTTTTCTATATAAAACAGTCTGGGCTTATGACCACAAGGGCACAGAGGCAGGAGAAAGGTCTAGAAAATAACCTAAATAGTGTGGTTCAGATTCAAGGTACAATAAAAGCTCTGTGGGGTAGAAGCTAATAATTCAGAAACTTGAAATAATTCATTCTAGCCAAGATCAAAGTTTACATTTGATTAAAATAATAGGGTTTAGGGAACATTAATAAAATACAAGAAAGGAGTGAAACCTCAAACGTATGATTTTAGTCTGGAGATAAAGAATAATTATTGGTGTGCAGATATTTGTTGTTCAATATAAATTACTTTCTTTGATAAAGGAAGAAAGCTTGCTTGGACCATTTGTTCTTGTTAGTTTGCAATTACAGTACTATTCCAGTGAAGATTTCTATTCTACTTCAAGATCTGTAACTTGAACTTTTCACTATGTGGCCTAGTCCCTGGAAGGTCTGGATTAGTCACATTTAGTTCATTGAAGCTTCGTGTTTTCTTCTAGAAGCCTCAAAAGATGAGCTAGGTGATCTCCTGAGGGCTAGCCCAATATTCCTACAAAAAGGATAACTTACCCACAACTGCCATCTGAACTGGGCTTTGCCAGTCCTCTACTTGCTTGTTACAGCTCCTACATTCTAAGGGGTATGACAATATGGTCTGGCTTGTTTTGTTTGCATTAAAAGGCTTCCAGTGTTAGACAATAGTAGGGTCATGTAGACATAGTCTACAGGAGAGAATAAAACACGGAAACTGCGCATGTCCGCAGCTCTGCGGTGCTGCCCCCCATCAACTTTTGCTTTCAGTGCCTCAGTGGACATGCTGACGGAGTGGAGGAGATCAGAGGCAGAAAGCTATTTCCTACCCCTTGGGCCCTAAGGCTGAAGAGGGGCTCACATCTTCACCTGCAGAACCTGAAGGCTTGAAGCCACAGGGGTGTCCTCTGGCTGATCTGACAAGCTCAGCCGTGCTGATGAAGATGAAAAGCGTCCTTCTCCACAGTGAGAGTCAGCCATTGTTCTCTTGCCCTCTCACCCCTTTCCCCCGCCCCATTCACTGCAGTCTGGGAGGCTGTTCTCTTTCTTCTGCTTCAACGATTAGTCCTAGGCCCCTTTTCCTTTGACGCTTGCTACCCTACTAGAGGCAGAGGACGGCTCCATTAAAATCCTGCTTTCCCTGCCCCAGAGATCTGACAGCCTATTTGAGGAGAGAAAGCTTATTACATGTTGAACAGATAAAGAATGATTCAAGGTGACATAGTAGGTACACAGTGGTGCATGAGGTCCAAATCAGGCAACAGGAGAAATGATAAAGAGCTATGGCTTTTGTCTTCAAAAGCCAAATGCAGTCACCCTCTTTAGCTGAAGACTTCTTCATTTCTAAAACAGGGCAGTTCGGGTTCCTGCATGGCTGCTTCACCACCATGAGAGCCCCCATTCTTCCAAAGATATCTGCGGACATTTTTGAAGGGTACTGGGCCCCTGGCCCTGTACTATGGTCAGTCTTGGAAAGCTAAAGCTTTCCTTGAAAGACCTTGCTGAACAATCAAGATCGCCATTATTTAATGCTCTCCAGGGAGAGCAGCCAAATCTGCCCTCTTCTCTCCAGTATGAGACTGGAATATAGCCTAATTAAATAGCAGGAAGGGGCCGGTCCCTTGGAGATTTGGGGTGGCAGTGCCTGTACATAAATCTATAGCCTGATAGATTAATTACTGAATTCAAGAAAAAAAGCTGCATTTATTTAGTCTTTAACTCTTCCATATGCTTTGTTTTGTTTTGTTCTTGCCCCTCTCTACCCCACTGTATTACTGGGGCCACCATGATAGCTCCTTTACAAAAATAAATAGAAACTAGTGCTTCCTAAACCCATTGACATACCAAGGTCACTAGAGGGTTTAAAAAAAAAAAGATCCTTAAGCTCACTCCTGATGATAGGGATTCAGTAGTTTGAGTAGGTATGGCCAAGAATAAGTGTTTTTCAATAAAAATGCTGCATCCTGTTGTTCTTCAGATAGATTTTGGGGTGCAAGAACCTAAGGCACATTTCCCAGCTCATATAATGCAAGATTTTAAAGTATGGTAGGGGAAAAAAAGAAAAATGTGGGGATAAAACAAAGGCAGGAGGGAGAACAAGGCACATGGGTGGATCACATATAAAAACCCTTTCTCCCCACCTAAATTTATTATGCATAGTAGTCATTCTGGATGGCTGCATTCACTACTGTTGTCTGGCTGAGGGCCCCTAAAAGTGGTGAAATTTGTAGCACTGTTTGTCATTCCTCTTCACTGAAGATGCTAGTGTAGCCAATTCTTTCTCTTCCTCCCAGTCCATATCCTTCCAGCCCCGGGGAAGATGCTCAGCACCTGCTTTATCGTTCCCAGGAGAGACCCCAGCTGGAGCTGGAAGTGCCTCTGTCCCATTCCCCCAGGCTAAGCCAGCAGCAGCTGTGTGGTTGGGGGAGGGGTAGACTGCAGTGCTCTGCTCTGATTTCGTGAGCAGGAAGCCATCTTTGGCAGAGCTTTTGAAGGGCGAGGCTAGACAGCCTGGTGTAGGGAAACAAAGAGCACAAACAAAGAGAGGAGACCTTGACTAGCAATGATCAGCAGGCAGCACAATTCCTTCTGAAAGGTGCAAAGTGGTGCTTTTTATCTACTCTGATCCATGAAATAGACATGTGGAATGTGCAACAAAAAGAAGTTCAAGGAAATCTCATCTATGTAGAACTCAACTCCCCAATAACCCCTTTTTCAGAAAACACAGCTGTGAAACAAAACCTTTTTTTTAAAAAAAGGACCTGCTAATGAGTCAAAAAATATCTATTTCTAAATCATATATTAGGAAGTTGACCCCTCTGATGCCCTCAGTCTATTCATTCTTACTTGACATGATTCTAGAGCACTTTGTTTGGATTTCGAGCCTGCAGCATGATAGAGAAGGAGAAGGGACTACAGGAGTCAGGCATTTCAAGGAGAAGTAGCAGCAGATTAGTTCTTTCAGAACAAAGAAAACCAATGAGTAACCAACAAAGAAAACACTAATTCAAACACTGCTCTTTGGGGTCATTTAGGATAGAATAAGCAGTCTGGTATACCTCAGTTGACCTAAAAGATAAAAGACATCACAGAATTATAAAAAAATAATTGATCATTATCATAACCCATAGTTGCCTCCCACATATGTCCCAACCAAGGCCAGCATGGATCCTGCACAGGTCAACACTCTAACCACTGAACAATACCATCCAGGGTGCTTTTTAAAAATTCGTCCTCCCACTGGAGGTACCTTTTTCTCATTTGCACAGTGTTCTTTCATGGGTTAACAGCTGCCCTGGCTGGAGGTAAGATCATGTGTGAGGTAAGTGCGGAGAGAGTACTTAAGTTGGAAGCCAGAAAGACTGAGTGGAGGACATTTGTACTGAGTCTTGGATGACATGGAGTGGGCCATGTAAAGACCCACTCCAGAGTACTCCAAACAGGAAATAGCCTAAGGGCCTGGGACGGCACCTTGCTAAGTCTAGGGAGCAAAAGAGAAGGCCAGGGTAGCTGAAACACACTGAGGAAGGGGGAGTGTATAGGCCATGTTGAAGAGTTGGGACTTTAGTTCATTGAAGCTTGGAGGATTTTGAGCAGGTAAATAGGACCTATTGTTTTCAAAAGGTCCTTCTGCCTGCTCCAGAATCACAGATGTAAAGCTATTTTTCTTCTATGCCTGGGTTTGCACCTGGAAGAATTTGGAGTAAATCTATGACAGAGAAGTTTCTTTTTGTAAAAAAAATTATCATTTCAGTCTGCCATGTGGATAAAAAAAAAAATCCATGGAGTATTTCTGCTTCCTCCGTATTTGTTGCATGAAGTGATTTCAGTGAAGTGATTGAGTAGCAGACCACCAGGAAGCCAGCAAAACGAATGGAGGCAGAAAAGACCCTCTGTCTTCTCTGTGCTTTCCACAGTGGAATTTTCTGAATCTACTACTAAGCTCCTAACCTGAGGCTGTGGGTTATGGAAAGGACATCCAACAAATGAGTTAGTGAGTTAGTTAGCAGCAAGTACAACAAGCAAGGGAGGGATGGTAAGCAGATTTTAAAAAAGAAAATATCTCCTACCTGGCCAGTGGTACAGTTGGTTGGAGCATCCTCCCCTAGACCAAAAAAGGTTGTAGATTCAATCCCTGGTTAGGGGCATACAGGAGGCAACCAATTAATGTTTCTCTCTTACATCAATTTTTCTCTTTCTCTCTCCCTCCCTCCCTCCCTCTCCCTCTCCCTTTCTCTCTCTTTCTCTAAAAAAAAAATAAATCAATAAACATACCCCCAGGTAAGTTATATATATATATATCCTTAGTGTTCAGTTGAGAACCATGGGGAGATTTGGATGCATGGTAAAAAAAATGGAGGTGACACCCCTGAACAGATGAATCACAATCTAGGCTGGGCATGGGGAGGAGAGAGTTCTGGATATTTTAATGTGTAGTCACAGTTGAGAGTCTTTGACTTGTGGGAATCTCAATGAATTTCTGCTGGTTTTGACCTAAATATGTCGGCTGTGTCACTTTTCAGGACAGCATTGGGCAACTGGAGAATGATCTGAGGAACACCAAGAGTGAGATGGCACGCCACCTTCGGGAATACCAGGACTTGCTCAATGTCAAAATGGCTCTTGACATTGAGATAGCAGCTTACAGGTACATTAAAGGGCACGCTCCGAGCAAATGCAGTCACCTGGGGCAGCATTACCCAAATAAGTGGTTCTAGTCTTTCCTGTTTCTTATGGGTGAGAGAGGATGAGGAAAGATAGCACTGATTTTAAAGAAAGGATGATAAAAACTATTAGTTACGAAAAACAAGGTTTTGGGGCCACTCTTTTGTGATGCCATTTAGGCTGGCCTGAGAAAAATCTGGGATCTGAAACAGGTTCCTTCACTGGTCTTTGATGTTCCTGGTTCCACTCCATTTGTACTCCTGCACATTGAAAAAGCACAGATCTCAAGTTCAGGCTGAATTAGGCAGTTCTTTCCTCCTCTGTGGACTTCTCCCCTCCTTATTCCTATTGCACTTATGGTGTTAATTAACAAAATTACTTTTCTCTAGAGAGCTTTGTAGACTCTAAGTGCCAAAAATAGGTGTGATGAGGCCAAGGGGAACTGTAAGTTTTCCCTTTGTTAATATGTTAGTGAATAGGCTAGGTTACCCTTTGACAGTGCTGTAAACACAGTGGGTGCGGAAGATGTGTGTGTGTGTGTGTGTGTGTGTGTGTGTGCGTGCATGTGATAGATAACCTCGAGTCTTTGAGACTTGGAGTTCAATATCTATTGGTCTCAATCTCATGAATAAACCACAAAATCTTATAGAATTTTTCTTTCCTTTTTCTTTTAGAATTTTTCTAATATAAGTATGACCTGCAGGGTTACGTTTTGTTTGTTTTTTAAAGTTGCAAGTTAGCCTCCTGAGATTTTTTTTCCTCTCTGTTCGATTTACAGGAAATTGCTGGAAGGCGAAGAGACACGTTTTAGCACTAGTGGGTCAACCATTTTAGGGCTAAATCCACTTCCCAATCCAGGTTATCTGCTCCCGCCTAGAATCCTCAGTTCTACTACCTCCAAAGTCTCATCCACTGGCCTGTCTCTTAAGAAAGAGGAAGAGGGTGAGGAGGAGGAGGCTTCTAAGGTCACCTCTAAGAAAACCTCCCAGATAGGGGAAAGTTTTGAAGAAATACTGGAGGAGACCGTAATATCTACTAAGAAAACCGAGAAATCAAATATAGAAGAAAGCACCATTTCAAGCCAAAAAATATAATTCTGTTGCTTAAAAAGAGTTAATGCTTAAGAGGGGATAATATGCATTTGACTTGTTAACAGCCTATTCCTGAACCAAAACACCTGTCATCACTATAAAATGTCTTCAAGGCTTCAGTCTCATAGTTAGCATTGAATACCTACATTCTCTAATAAGGAAACCACCTCTTAGATTGGAGCAAACCGCGGCCCTACAGCCATCACAGAGGAGTTATCTAAGAACACAGCTTTCTCACCTAAAGCTCAGGCTTTACAGTGATAGATGATTCAGGTACAGAGGAAGTACAAACTAAGGTGCTAAATCTGTGATCATCATCTTTTGCTGTGATTTAAAATTAAAACCTATCTCACTCATTATAACTAGCCATTGCCCAGCTATATCGTCTCACTCTAGATACCTAAAATATAAGATCACTGCCAAAGATAAACTAATGGTCCACACCCCACCACCCTAATAGAACCGTTTCACAAATGATAGGTGTTTGTTTGATGGACACTTTTCCTCCCACCCACCTCAATTCCATTTAGGTTTTTCTCAAAAGAACGTACCCCCTTTAGCTCTCTTTGCGGAATGGGTAAAATACGATGCATGTTGACCATTTCTGTGATTCATGTAATGACTTCACCCTGCCCATTTCCTATCCTTCCAATTCTGTAAGTTAAAATAAAAATGGCAGTGATAAGTGTTAAGGGTTGCCTCCAACAAATAAAATAATGAAAACTTTGTGTAGATTTTAGGCTTTTCAGCTTAACAAACCCATTTAATTAGGAGGGAAAAAAAAAACCCTACTGGATTAAGAATGTAGCTTTTCACCTTAATGTTAGAAACACAGTAATAGTTACCATAAGCTGTGATTAAGCTGACCTTAGATTTAGTAACATAAGCTAGAAGAGGTGAGTATTTGTATGAATGGAAAAAGTGAAGGTCTCATTTATCTGTGTCAGTTTGCTTGTGGTGATATAGAGTTAGTTGTTTCATGCCCTTAGCCTTAGAATCCATATATTCCCCTTCCTACTAGTCTAGGTCCTAAAAGGCCTTGTTTTCACTCTCCTCTGCCTTTTTAAAAGTGCTAAGTGTAGATTATGTTATCAGCAGGACACAATGCTACTGCCCCAAAGCAAAAGAAGTCACTTCTGGTCAATCAACACCACCAGCAAATAAATAAATAAATCTCTTTTCTAAGAGAGTCTTGCCCAGCAGTTTTCCCACTGCTGCATCGTTGGTGGTCTCTCCCCTGCTGGAGAGGAAGAGACACCCAGACCAGAGGAGGGGCGCACAGGCTCCTACTCACAGGCTAGAAGTAGATTTTGGAGCCTCAACTTTTCATCTGCCCATCTGTGTAGCAGCTGCATTCCACGTGTGCCGAGTTCGATGCAGGATTTGTTCTCTGCCAGCAGTCACTTCACCAGAGCTAAAGAGTTGCCATGTCTCTATCACACGTCTGCATTAAGATAAGGACGTGAAGCTTTCACTGAACTTTCTTATCCTAGCACATGCTTCCATAGTTCAAGGAACTTGAAAGATACTTTTCTTCCTTTCCCTTACTCCATCCCTGTCTTTATTCCCCACACTTACTGTAAAACATTAATAAAATAAGAATTAAAAGTCTCATGAGTTCCACCAACATAACTTGTGTTCTGTGGTTTCTGCTGCTTCAACTGAGAAAAGCATTGTTTGGTTCAGTGAGACAACTGCTCCCCCGAAATAATCCAGAAATGGTCTGCTCTCTGTTCCGTGCTTCCACAGTTAGTTTATTTCCCTGCCAAAGCCTTGGGGCTCTAGTCTGCATTTGTTTCAGACTGTCTGGTCTGACACACATGATGCACTGAGTGAACTGTTAATGGCAGGGAGTGGGGAAATCCAATCCAATGACGAAAGACACTGCATTCTGTGCCTGGGTAATGATTTAATTAGCTTAGCTTGGTGAACCTTTCTGAGCATAAACTGGCAGAACACATGATAAAAAGTCCTTCAAAACATTAAGAATCTTCCTTCTTTGAAAAGGGGGTTATACTTCTGAAGAAATGGGATATTTAGGTAGAACATGGGCGACAGGAATACAATTTTCCTCTGCTCTAAATGGTTCTTCTTTGGAATTGTAGACCTCTTGGAAAAAGTTATGAACCCTTTTCCCAGAAACACACACACACAAAACTTTGTACAGATCAAGGGCCTTGTGACTCCTCTAGGACTATCTACTTCTGGTGTCCAGAGTCCTTGGATGCCAAATTGAGATGTCCTAATGCCATGCCAGGTTCTAGGATAGAGACTGCAAATGAGGGGATATGTGGATGCAACTCACAGCTGATGCTGGTAGTTGAAGCTTGCTGAATCCTGAACAACACTATCCATTCTCAGTCCATCTGGCTAAGGTACTTGTATGCCACTCAAAGATGCATCACTGGTACCTCTGGCGAAAAGAGATCTGTTAGTCATTACTAACAATGAGTTGTATAGTAATTAAAACATCTTTTAGGGCCGGTTAAGGAACAACAGTCTCATCAATACATGGGTCTGCAATATAGACATTGGCTGCTGCTTCTAAGAATACTTTAGTTAATGGATCCTTCTCTATGCCAAGCCAGAGTCCTTTTATTACATTTATATAATCTATGGCTCTGACTAATTTGCATCTCCTATTTTCAGTGAGTTGCCACTAACTGTCATGAGCTCGTTTATAAAAGAAAGACATTAAAAGCATCTTATGGAGTTGATCAATTATTAAGTCAGAATAATTACAGTAACAGGGAAACATGAGGTGGGGAGGAGAAGGGAAGGAAAGCAAGCAATATCAGCTGTTACAGCAGAACACGGCAGAACAGGGCAACAAAGTAAGCCTATGAGATTGTGAGGAGGCCTGTCTGCAAAACACATGAATGATATCCAGACATGATTTTTCCATTCATTAGATAATGAGGCCCTCTGTATCCTGAGACTTATTAATTTATAAGTTATAATTACTGCTATAATCTATTCAGTACTTACTTATGGCATTATGTATTAGACACTGTACCAGGCAGTGAACATAGAATTATCTCATTTAAACCTCACAACCACTCTTTTATTTTATTTTTTAATTGATGTTTCCTTTTTAAATTTTTTATTGACTTCAGGGAGAACGGAAGGGAGGGAGGGAGAGAGAGAGAGGAAGAGAGAGAGAGAGAGAGAGAGAGAGGCATCAATGATGAGAGAAAAATCATTGATCAGCTGCCTCCTGCACACCTCACACTGGGGATCGAGCCCACAATTTGGGCATGTGTCCTGACAGAATCGAACCATAACCTCCTGGTTCATAGGTGAACACTTAAGCACTGAGCCATGCCGGCTGGGCTCACAACCACTCTTTAAGTGTAGTATTTGTATACCCGTTTTACAAATGAAGGAGTAGAGGCTTGGAATGACAAGGTTAAGACCCTTGTCTGATATCACACAGTACAGAACTAAACTGGGATTTGAAGCTCCGTTTTCTGACTCTGCAGTGCTTGCTTTCCTTTCCTGTGTAAGAGAAACCCCCCTCACTTGAGGGACTAGAAATATTTTTATCTTCTTTATCACCCTTCCGTTCCAGGTTTCTCTTAAGGTTTCTTAGCTTCCAAAACCCTTGGCAACACTAAGTCCTATAGGCAAACTAATACACTTTGCAGACTTCGTGAGCCCACTGCCTTCCTGCATTGCAGTGAGGTGGTGGCAGCTCAAAACTGGGCTCTGGGCCCATCCAACTATGAGTCATCTCTGCTCCTGCTAAAAGATAGAATTGGATGCTATTAAAAAATTATTTTTAAATGATTTGGCAAGAAATTCTGTAGCTCATTATCAAGGGGCCTAGAATGGACAATTCCTCAAGAGGCAATAAATCCAGGATACTTGGAATTCGTTTTACTGTACTGGCTAAAGAGGGGGCAAAATTTGAGCAACTGTCTGGAAACTTGATCCCAAATTTTAGGTCCAGAGATAATGCAAGTCATATGTAGTCCTGGGGATAAGCTTCTAGAACTTACCTGTGAACACAAACAGGGAGCCTAGAACCATGGCTCTAAAAGCAAACATGAAGCGGTATTTAAAATGTACCCCATTTAAGAATCCCTTGGAACAGAAAGCAGATGGGCAGTGGCCAGGGCCGAGAGAAGGGGAAATGGGGAGTGACTACTGGGTGGGTATGGGGTTTTATTTTGGAGTGATGTAAATGTTTGGAACTAGATAGAGGTGGTAACTGCACAACATTGTGAATGTTATAAATGCCCCTGAACTGTTCACTTTTAAATTATTGATATTATTCCATGTAAATTTTAGCTCAATTAAAAAATCCATTGATAGAGAATTTATGGAACTATGAGAAAAATGTAATTATAAAGCCTACTATACCTTCTGCTCCAGCTGAGACCATTATGCACAGCCACGCTGGGTCAATTCTAGTTTGAAAGAATTCCATTAGGACAACAGAAGTCAGATCTAATAAGCATATTGATTTCAAAACAGAGCCTGGAGAAAAAGTCCAAAATCTCCTTGCACATAAATGAAAAAAACAAACAAACTAGAAATGCTGCTTGTTATGAGCATTCATCACTGACTTCCAACCAATATTATTTTTATTATTATATTGTCAGAAATCTCTAAGGTCCTGAAAAACATCTAAATCATAAGAATGCATTTTTTTTCTTAGAAAAATAAATTGGTGTGCCTGAAAGCACAGAAATCTAAAATAGAAATTACTGGGAGGGGGGCAAGGGGGCTTTGAAGGGTCTTAAAATAGAGCTCAGACTGGCCAGAGTGGCTCAGTTGGTTGAGCACTGCCCTGTGCACTGAAAGGTTGTTGATTCGATTCCAAGTTGTATGGAAGGCAACCAATCAATGTTTCTCACATCAATGTTTCTATGTTTTTTCCCCCTCTCTCTAAGCATGTTCTCAGTGAGGATAAAAAAAAAGAGCTCATATGTGAAATTGTATTTTTCTTTGTAGAATATACATTACTAGCTTTGCTACATGCTCAAATCTAATGTACACCTTAGATCAGTGATTTTCAATCTTTTCCACCTCATGGCACACATAAACTAATTATTAAAATTCTGCAGCACAAAAAAAAATCGATTTTTGCCACTCTGACAAAAAGAATAGCTATAATTTTGATTTATTTACACACCGGACAGCTATTGTTGTATTGGCTGTTGTCATTTTATTTGACAATCTAAAGAAAAAGAGGTCACTGCCCCTGACTAAATAGTCAGGTATTGCATGTTCTAAAAATTCTTGAGGAACATCAGTTGAAAATTGCCGGGTTAGAGTAATATCATTATGCCTTTTACTATTTTCAGATATTTCACATGGATTTGCCATTTGTAAATGGGAGAGGGCTCCTGAGTCCAGTCAAACAAAGAGCTGTGTTTACTACATTACCATGTCCCCCTTAAAGGGTGAAAAGAATAGTTACTAGGTAGATCAAAGATGATTAGATTGCCCTCATGTTTTATGCTGATATCCACAAGCTTACTAGGTGGGGGTAGGGACTAGCTAAAATTTATAGATTCTTTCTTACAATCCCTACACACACACACACACACACACACACACACACACACACACACACACACCAGGATTGTAATAAAGCAGAGTGAGTCACACTGCGGACTTTATAAGATTTATGTTTTTACAGTGCTTCAGCAGTTCTCTATGAAACAAAATAGAGAAAGCCCAGGGTACAAAGAAAAACAAAGACTGATCTCGGAGGAGTCTCTAGGCTCGCTTCCTCACTGATTAATTACTGTAGGTCACCACATGGCTACTCATCTCCCCTGTTGAGGCAAGTGGTCTCTATTCTTTGTAAGTCTGAGACATTTCATTTTTAGCTCTATCACATGCTGTTAGAGGTTATAGAGTGCTCAGCAGAGCGTAACCAAAATCATTAATATAAGCTCTGGAGTTTTGGGAATACAATCAGTACCAGATTCTAGTCAATTGCTGATTATTGCACAGGGCAAAAAAAGCATTCTTCCTTAGGAAGTGCTTATTAAAAAAATTTAATTCACTAAGGTTACCTGTTATACCATAAGTATGAATATGAGAGGTGTAACTTCTATCTCTCATTATTTCCTGGCATAAGGATTCACACATGACATATAGAATTACTGATGTCCTTTAGTGCTAGACAATATTTTATCTTTTCCTTAAGCCAGACTTTGAGCTCAACAGAAGGAACTCCTTTCTGGCAATTAAAACTGTCTGCCTTCGCACTAATCCAGTCTGCAAAGTAGAAGCAGCAAAGTCAACATTAGAATTATGGTGCCCTAGCTGGTTTGTCTCGGGGGATAGAGCGTTGACTTGCGGACTGAAAGGTCCCAGGTTCGATTCTGGTCAAGGGCACATGCCCAGGTTGTGGGCTCGATCCCTAGTAGGGGGCATGCAGGAGGTAGCCAATCAATGATTCTCTCTCATCATTGATGTTTCTGTCTCTCTCTCACTCTCCCTTCCTCTCTGAAATAAAAAAAAAAAACCACAGACACCATCAGAACAAAATAAAAATGCAGTCAAGATCAAACCATAATATCCATTTCATGTAAGTAGGTACTTGGCAAGCTTTCAGATCAATATGGCATTTCATTTGTGAGTGGACTATTAATCTCTAGAATAAAATT